TACATCACTAGCACTATTTTCCATATACATTTCATCCCACTGTTGGACAAGATAAAAGAGCAGCACAACTTGTCACAAAGGTGTCATTCTGTGACCGTCTCAGCCTGCCTGTTGCGAAAGGAGGGGAACAGTGTTGTCTTTGTGCAAACTGGACAAAGCTGGACCTGTGTGAAAGCAGGTTAATGTTCCTCTACAGGTTTGGAAGCCAAGGGCATCTGAAGGACCCTCCCACAAACTTATCCAAACCCGCCTCTGGATTCTGCTCTCGCTCTTAACACCTCGAGTGAATGAATATGACAGGACAAAACACCTACGCTCAACAAAACAAGTGTTCACACAGTCCGAGCCAATTAAAAAACTTCAGTAGTACAGAGAGATCCAATTTGTAAGAAAAGATCTCAGTATAACAGAGGTGGGTGCTGTAACGGCCAGAGTGTGCCTTCAAATAGGGTGTGGAGAGCTATAAATAACACTTGTAGTGCAGACAATTTTCAGCTTCTGAGAATCGCTAAAGAACTGTTGACACATGGAGAAGTGTGTGTGGGTGGCAGAAAGCGTAATGACTTAGCAGTGAAACAGGGCGCCACGCACAAGGAAGAGAGTCTCAGAGGGTTCCAGGTGTTTGTCCATGTGCTGACTCACATCAGCAGGTGTATTAGTCCTGAAAGAGTAAAAAAGCTTCTCACCGGAGGACAGAACTTTGTTAAAGATAATAAAAACAGACGTGAATGTTGTACACAAGCTGAGCATCATCGCTTTGAGTACTATTTACGGGTCATTCAAATAGTGCTGTTTGTGTACAGATATAAAAGCTAAATCAAATGTATATTATAGCAGGTCACATTTCTGTTTGTATATATATATATATATATATATATATATATATACACATTATGTAATTATAGATATTTTAAAAAATCTTAAAAATATTTATTTATGTTTTCTGCTGTAATTAAAAAATGTAAATGTAAAGTATATATATATATATATATATATAATTAGTATATATTATTAGATATACAGTAGGTATTATATCTACAGTATATTTATATATCTCCTTTCAATAGATAGAATTTTCGTTTAATTTTTATTCTTTTTGACCACATGGTTCAAAGGGAAGTACTTTAATTTAGTATTTTTTTATGGTTCCACTAATATGGGTCTCATCGGGCTCAACTGTTCAACTGTAATGAAAAATTATATTTATTTATTTTTATTTTCTATAGGAAAATATTGTTCTTGGCGAAAAGCACAAGAATATCGACTACATTTTTTGAATGTAGGAAGGATTAAATGTATGCAAAGCATGTTCTGAAAGAGAAACTGTATACATAAATACCAACACATAAAATGAAATACCTGACAATAATGTATCATTTTTGTTCTCATGGCTGTTTCAGCAGCAGAGCAGGAAGGCATTAGAGGGTCAGGAATGTGCAGACCTTGTCAGAAAATATGCCAGGGTTTATTGTGCTGCAGAGAGCATTTCTGCCGCGGGGATTAATGTATTTAATAGATAGAATTTTAGTTTAATTTTTATTCTTTTTGACCACATGGTTCAAAGGGAAGTACTTTAATTTAGTATTTTTTTATGGTTCCACTAATATGGGTCTCATCGGGCTCAACTGTTCAACTGTAATGAAAAATTATATTTATTTATTTTTATTTTCTATAGGAAAATATTGTTCTTGGCGAAAAGCACAAGAATATCGACTACATTTTTTGAATGTAGGAAGGATTAAATGTATGCAAAGCATGTTCTGAAAGAGAAACTGTATACATAAATACCAACACATAAAATGAAATACCTGACAATAATGTATCATTTTTTGTTCTCATGGCTGTTTCAGCAGCAGAGCAGGAAGGCATTAGAGGGTCAGGAATGTGCAGACCTTGTCAGAAAATATGCCAGGTTTTATTGTGCTGCAAAGAGCATTTCTGCCGCTGGGATTAATGTATTTAAAATGTCCCAGACTGATTTGGGACTGAATGAAAGAGACGCTTATGTATTAGTACGTGTTGACTCTGTTAGGTATAAAACTTCTAATGTCTTGTTTTCACAATTCATATTTGTTTGAGTTTGAAACGCGTCCAACCATTTTGTCAAAGGTAGAATCCACCGCTGTCATAGCAACGCGTTGAAGAATAATCCAGCAACTGTGTTTGTTTGTGATTATCCGCATGCGCGCGTTTGCACGTGTGCGCTAACTGCGCTTAGTTTATGTGTGTGTGTGTGTGTGTGTGTGTGTGTGTGAGAGAGAGAGTGTGTGTGTGTGAAAGCATGCTCAAGGACCTTTCCTCTTCTGGAACTGTGGACATACTCAAATGCCAAGCATAGTTACTGATTCACACTGTCAGAGAAGCTCGCAAGAGTTCAGTCCAGGCAGCAGTCCAAATGCATATTAAAAGCTCACTGTTTCCATAACATCCTTGCCGTTTTATATAGTTTATTTCCTTACTCAATGTCTATATGAATAACAAGGCATGAATGAATGTCATATGTAAGTATATTTCTGTTGAAAAACATTGTGTTTATCAAAAACTTGAAACTCAATGATTACATTTGGATTTTGTATCTTCTCCCAAAAATGAAAATCTGCTGAAAATGGACTCACCCTAAGGCCTTTCAAGATGAGTTTGTTTCTTTTAGCATTATATCAATGAACAGTGAATGGGTACCACCAGAATGAGACTTCAAACAGCTGATAAAAACATCACAATAATCTACAAGTAATCCACACTACTCCAGACGATAAATTAATGTCTTGTGAAGTGAAAAGGCTGTGTGTTTGTAAGAAACAAATCCATCATTAAGGTGTTTTTTTTACTTTAAACTGCTGTTTCTGGTTAAAACACAAGTCCATAATCTATAATAGGCTAATGCTTCCACCAGTGAAAAAGTCCAGTTTACTTTAAAATCCAGCAACATATTTGATTAGAACATTTTTCGTTTGTAAACAGTACTTAATCTGTGCATATTTCACTCCTGATACGACTTTTTAACAGGAGGAAACAATATTATGAATGAGGACGGAAGCTGCAACAGTTTGAAGTTAAAAACATCTTGGTGGATTTGTTTCTTACAAACTTGCAGCTTTTCACTTTACAAGAGGTTAATCAGCGGACAGGAGTTGTGTGGATTACTTGTGATTTATTGTGACGTTTTTATTAGCTGTTTAAACTCTCATTCTGGCGGCACCCATTCACTGCAGACTTACTTCCAGCATGGACACACCTGTTCATGCAATCATTAAAAAATTCTCCCTCTAAGCCACACCAATCTCTGCTCTGATAATGTTGTGTTTCAGACCCACCTATAATATTTCAGACCCTAGTTTACATGACTGTCTCCATGATAACGTTATCACTAAGGACAGGTGTGTATGTTAATATGACATAATGGCATTGCGCAATTTTTAAGGTTAACTTGTCAGGCCAGTTGCCTGTTTAATAATTACTTTTGATATCTCATTGTGTTCACAGCTAACAGAACATGAATAAGCTTGTCCTGCGAATGGGAAAATTCCTTACTTTTAAGTATGTTCTGAGCTAATCGTTTGAAAGGCATACCTTGTTTTTCCAGACTTAATCACAGGAAAGCCAAGCCTAGTTTTCTCCAAATAGTAAAACAGCTTTTGTTCATGGGAACCCTTGTTAAATTATTCTGACTCATCAGTATCGGTAATCTGAAAGATGCAAATATCCTAAATCAACATTGTTTTATTGTATCATGAACTAGTACAGAAGGTTTAAACTGCATGTATGTGCTGAAAATTAATAGTTTCCATACATGCAGAATTTATGTAGGTCTCAGGGGTGCCGTGTGTTCTGTTTCTATGGACATGCCTCTAAAACACACAGTCCTGTGGGAATGACTGGATAATTACATGCATCACTGATATTTCACAATCTGGCTGACCATGAAAGTTGTATACATATTTTAAAGATACTTTTAAAGACAATTATCTATGAGCAATGTGGTCTGTCATAAAATGGGTCATTTAAAGTCTGTAATTTAATATGAATAATAATGTAGGGACAACTGACCGTCAGAAGTGGATTAAAAAAACAGCAAAATTTAATTTTAAAAAACGTAGAAAACAGCAGATCACAGTCTTTTGCTTGTTACTCGTTATATTAATACAAATAGGTCACACAATTTACATTGCAAACATTTACATTTAAAATATTAGAGTATTTCTTTCACTATAATTTGTGAATTGTATTTAATGTAGGTCTCAGGGGTGCCGTGTGTTCTGTTTCTATGGACATGCCTCTAAAACACACAGTCCTGTGGGAATGACTGGATAATTACATGCATCACTGATATTTCACAATCTGGCTGACCATGATGTATGTATACATATTTTAAAGATACTTTTAAAGACAATTATCTATGAGCAATGTGGTCTGTCATAAAATGGGTCATTTAAAGTCTGTAATTTAATATGAATAATAATTTAGGGACAACTGACCGTCAGAAGTGGATAAAAAAAAAAAAAATTAAATTAAAAAAAACGTAGAAAACAGCAGATCACAGCCTTTTGCTTGTTACTCATTATATTAATACAAATAGGTCACACAATTTACATTGCAAACATTTACATTTAAAATATTAGAGTATTTCTTTCACTATAATTTGTGAATTGTATTTATTTCATTATTGGTTTATATTATTGCCTACATCAATTGTTATTAGTAGCAGCAGTAGTAGTAATAGTAGTGCATTTCTTGTTATTTTGTATCTTATCTCAACTTCAGAATATCTTGTGTGTGGTAACACTGCCGTCACAGATTTCCCATGACAAATGTAGGATTATGGTGCATTACTGACATCCCCTGGATATAATTGTTAGTGCAGTCTGTTTGCGTCATCTATAAACCCCGCCTCCTAAGAGCTCTCTCTACTTCTAATTGGTTCAAATAATTTTCACTCTTCAGTCTGATTGGCTAACTGGATTCGCCCTAGCTGTCACGCACAACAGAGGTCACGTATGATTCCAATATGGCTGCGTCCAGTTGAAACGCTACCTGCTGTATGAGTTTAAAATAACAGTTTTTTTTTATTTCATTTTATTTGAAGTGAATACATTCGAATACATAAGAACAGCATGGCGATTCCTGACAAGACTGTGTGAGCTGTCATATACTTCTGCGATGCCTTCACTCAATGCTATGTCATGTTTGCAAAGGGTGAGTTTGAAATTGTGTGTGTGTGTGTATAACCCATATAACCATATATATCAGCTATATTTTGATATACAAATACAAATCAGAAGATGAAATGCACTGTGCTTATTTATTGATTAACATGTAGGGACTTTCTCAAAATATGGTAACTAACTGTCCCTTGAAGTTTCATTAAAAAATGCATAAAAAAATATTAATGTAAAAAATTATTTAAGCTAACATTTCCTAAATAATATTTTATCATGCACCTTTGAACTCTGGAATTTTAAATATATCTTATAAATTATATTAAATAAGTTAATATTTTTTGCATACATATACATATTTATGCAAAATATATGTTAAAATGAAAACAATTTAATATTAAAGGGGTCATATGATGCGAAATCACAATGCACTGGGTCAGCTGGCCAATCAGAGCAGTCTGCTCTGATTGGCCAATCACAATGCACTGGGTCAGTTGGCCAATCAGAGCAGACTGCGCTTGTCAAAGGAGGGGGCTTTGTTGAAAACGAAGCGTTTGAGAGAGGCGGGGCATAGAGGACCTACAATAATGTACAGTATTTGAAAAATAATGTGTTTTTTGAACATTAAAGCATGTCAACATATTCTGTTACACCAAATACACAAAATAATGATCTTTAAAATAGCATCATATGACCCCTTTAACAATTTATATACATTTTTGCATAGACAGATATAGTTTCTCATTGTTTTAGCATTAGTTATTTTAGCCTTAATTATTTAGTCAAACATAATTGCAAAAAATTTAATAAAATAATAATCTAAATATTTTGTTCCTTTATTTCTTGTTGTTTATCACTGTAAAAAAAACTGCATTATTAAAATACAAAGTTGAAGTTAAAGATCAAAAGTTCCTATTTGAAAATTAGAAAAGCTCAGAGGAGGAAGAGGCTGTTAAAATATAAACATGGTCACTTCCCCTCATATAAACTCACAAATAAACTGCATAAATCTGTTTGTAACTCTTTTATACAGTTGCACACCTGCTACATTGCTCTCTTCAAAAACAGTTCCCATCACTGGACTGTGTTTTCTCAGAGCAGAGCTTTGCACTACACTGCCTGTGAACTGCAAAGCTCAAGCCCAGACTCTTCTTCCACCGTCAGCAGTGTACACCAGACACAGACTGTCCCAGAACCTGTGGACGAGGGCCCTCCATCTCCCCCCCGCCACTGCTGCATGAGCGGCTGTCATAACTGTGTGTGGATCGAACATGCTGAAAAACTGCTGAAATATTACAGCGATGGTGGAGACAGAGCTCTGGCAGCCATTGAGGAGAACGTTCTCGATGACAACCTGAAGGCTTATCTTAAAATGGAGATCAAGTTGCTGAAGAAGTCCTGATGATAGTGAACTTGGGTGGAGATTTACTGAGAGCAGATTCAGAGTGTTTCATAGCAGCAACTATTTGGACGTTTTTAATGGGTGAGTCTGTCAAAAACACGTCCCGGTCATATTTCACCTCAAAATCAAAAGGAAAAACATATATGTTTTATTGCACAAAGACTATAAATCTTAATCTTTTTTTTCATGACAATTGACAACTTTCCTCCAAAATCCTCATTTTTGTAATGCATGCAGATGTTTTATTTCTGAGTTTTTTTTGTAATGTCTGTATCCTTGTTATGTTTTAGCATAAATATATCAAAATCCATAAAAACAAAACGGTTTAAAATAGTTCTCAGATAAATATTTTAGAATAGAGTTGATCTCATTCTTTTCCACTGGCCAAATAGTATTTCAGTTGTTTTAATTGTTTTAAACGATACAAATCAAATTTAATTTATGCAGTTTTGCTGATAAAGTGAACATCTTTTAGCTATTTTTAGCCTATATTTATTGCAGTGTAAATAGAATTGTCTGACTCGGCGCGTCACTGACGAAGTAGCCTATTTTAAAAAGAAAACATGCAAATTACCATTTTCTTCAAGTTTTGTTTAACTTCTGCGTAATGACTTTATGTAATTTCAGTGCTTATCTCCATTAATGAGAGTTGAATACTTAATGTAAATGTGTATATCGAAATGAAAACAGATTTTAAAATCGTTGTTTACTTCATTACTTTTCTCTCACCAGGAAAAAGAGTGCGTACGCATGGTCTAGAATGTCCGTAAGGTGCGTACATATTTACGCCAAGTTTGTTTAGAAATCCCGATATGTGCGTGGAAAATTGCGTACGCAATTTCTATGCCCATTTTGTGCGTACGCAACGTTTATAAATGAGACCCCTGGAGGCTTTTTTGTAAAACATTAGGCGGCTTTACCACTAAGAACAGTCCAGGGATGTTACAATAATAAAAACCAAGGTATGTAAGAAAATCTTGTGTAATTTCAGTAGCTATTTTGTCTTGATCAGTAATGCATGTGTTTTGTGTCAGTATACCTCCATGGAGAAGGACTGAACAAAAGAAAGGCCTTTATGATGACTTAGTAAACTTATGAGTAAATCTCTATGTACAGATTCACATCTAAATTATTCTAACCAATAACTGTACCCAAATGCTGATTGTAATGACACAGGATCATATGTTTCCTTCTCTGATCAGCTCTTGTGGCATTAGAACCCACATTGGCTGGCTCTGAATAGTCATCAGGGTTGCCTAGCAGCATAGATTGATCATGGCATTGGCGGGCACTTGTGGTTTCTTTGACGACAGTCATCCTGATCTGAGTACCCGTGAGTCAGCATATGAGGGCTTGATGCCGCGTGCCGGTCCGAGGCATAAGAGCAGAGCTGTGATCCAGCTGCTTGAAGGATTTGTGATGAATGACGTGAAAAGTGGTTAGATATTCTGAGGACAAGATGTACAGAAGACAGTGTGATACTGATTCATGGAGGTCATTAATGGCACTGAAGTTTGAAATGTTTTCTTCCTCTTCGACTTTGAGCAGAATTGAGCATGCAAACATAAAACAATTCCTCTGATATATGAATAAAATATTTATGTATGCGTGTATGTATGTGTGTGTGTGTGTGTGTGTGTATTCTATTCTATTCTATTTTATTACTTTCAAAGTGTATGTTAAAAACTAGCAATACTTTAAAAAATAATACTGTATACATTTATAATATATTTTTATATTATACATTTATTAATATATATTTGTTGTGTGTGTGTGTATTTAACACACACACACACACACACACACACATATATATATACATATATATGTGTGTGTGTGTGTGTAGTATATTACTGGAATTATGTAAATTTTATTTGTATTTTTTAAAATTTTAAATTCCAGATTTTCAGAGTGTATGTTAAAAATTTATTAAACATTTTTAACATCAAATCGAAGTGTCAGTTATGCGATTGTTTGAATGGTTCAGACTAGCAGGGATAAGAGTTTGGTGTTTATTGTTTGAGCTGGGTCATCACAGTAAGCTCACAAGCTAGTTATGAATTTTTAGAGCACATGAACCCCACTAACCCACTGGCTTTGTATAACTGATCGATTCCTCTTTCGTGCCTCTTCAGTGAGTCCTCATATCTCATTAACCACAGACGGAACAAGGGGCATGTTCAACCTCATGACCTTGGACTGAGGTTGTGGGGCCAAATTCTGACCCAAAGACAATTATGTGCACCCAGTGACCCATAAATCCCTTTTTAACACATTTATTTTTTCCTGCTACAAAGATTTTATATGTATCTTTTATAATTATATTATATTTATTATATTATATTGAAAGATGACAAAAGACATCTAGAGAGATGTTTTGCAAAATGTTATGTTCTGCAGATGAAAATTAACCAGATTTACTCACCCATAGTAATGTAGAACAAAGGACTTTTTGAGCTGTAGTTAATCCTAATCACAGATTTCATATTATTTAACTGACAACAGCTTGTCAATAACAAAGACTCTCATTATCAATAGAGCAATACAGATGGCCAGATGCCTTAATGAAGCCAAGTAATCCTGACTGCAGATCTAGACTAATGTAATCAACTAATTAAACCTCCAAACTTTAATCTAGTGTCTTCAGCAGTAATTGTTTTTGTGCTGTTCTGAAGGCAGTCTCAAAATACAGCATGTGGGAAACAGTGATTTGGGCTGATGTCTTGGCTGGATTGTTTCTAAAGACTGCAGGATGAGTCGCTAGTGAAATCTACTGGATAATGTAACGAACCCCCACGGATGTGGGTCTGTTGCATAACAATGATAGAAAGTTGCAGAGCAAAGAAGCTCTAGAAGAACGCTATCTGCAAAGCACTCATCAGTTTCTGGATATTTCTATTATAATATCTGCTGTAATTCGATCAGCAAATCCCATCTCAAAAGAATTAGCCTATTCTAGAAACCTTCTAAAAAGATTCCTGTTTGTGGCCTGTCATAGATTTTTTTTAAATATATTCATAATTATATTCATAAATATTCTCCTTTAACATCAAGTCAATTCTGCAAGCACTACATGCAGAATGAGCTCAGAAACATTATATATATATATACAGGTGCATCTCAATAGATTAGAATGTCGTGGAAAAGTTCATTTATTTCAGTAATTCAACTCAAATTGTGAAACTCGTTTATTAAATCAATTCAATTGAACACAGACTGAAGTAGTTTAAGTCTTTGGTTCTTTTAATTGTGATGATTTTGGCTCACATTTAACAAAAACCCACCAACTCACTATCTCAACACATTAGAATACTGCATAAGATGAATAAAAAAACAT